TCAGCTATCGATGAGATACGGGCCTTGCCGATACTCGACTACTAATCAGAATGTCAATCCATACCATATTAGCTATCTATGAGACACGGGTCTCGCCCACACTCAAATACTAATCAAATCACATATACGGGCCGGCTTGGTGTCGTAGACCCGTTCCTACTAGAGGAAACTCACATCAATGTCGTGAATAGCTAAAAATCCCTGCTCCACATCCGGCTCAACTCGTACCCTATACAGAACAACCTCTTAGATGACATTCCATACTCAAAACCCCTTCACGGGTCAACCTTGATCCATCAACTCGCCGAGTTCCATAAATCAGAAATCCTGAAATCGCGATCCAACTCGTCGAGTCATCCTCCTGACTCGTCGAGTTCCCATGCTACTCGTAGTCATGATAAAGCGAGTCAACTCATCGAGTCCCTCCTTAGACTCGTCGAGTTCTACCTTATTCAGAATCGGGACAAATTGAATAAACTCGTCGAGTTCCTTTATGGACTCGACGAGTTCCTTAGTCTGTTTGGGCCATCTAAATGGATTAAGCCCCTACTCTCCAGATCTGAGCTTCATACTTCACCTACACACTAAAAACGTCCTTTTAAGGGTAAAGTTTCCAACTTTACCTGTTAATACCCTTATTTGAAGAATCTAGCTAAAACCCTAACTCTTTAGGACCTAGATCTTGGTCCACAAGTCATCCATACTCCAAACTAAGGCATATAAACAGAGATCTAGACCCTAAACACTACATGAACACGTAAAGCTTCCTCCTTTCACTCCATGCATGGCCTTTTGGAGCTTAAAAGGCCAAAAGGGCATCCTATAGCTTGCATGGGACTTCAATGGCCATAAAGTTTGCACCTTTATGCCATGAAAGCCCTCCATGCTTCCAAATCTGATGATATACTCACTGGGGACGTCCATAACTCAAAGATCAAGTTTCTTGGACCAAAAACCCCATAAAATGATAATAAAGAGATCTAAGAAGTTATTAAGCAAGTTTGAGACTTGCTTACCAGAAAATGATGAGAATGAAATGGAGTCTATGGATCTACTAGCTTCCTCTTGAAACCTCTAGCTTCTTCTTCTTCCTCAAGCTTCAAACACACAAAGCTTCACTCAAAAAATGGATCACAAGCTCACAATTGCATTAGGGTTTCTGGATCTAGGGTTTGGGACTTGGAGGCTGTAAATGAGGCCGGCATAAAGGGATTAAGATGCTTAAATAGGGTACAAAACCCTGAAATTAGGGTTTCAGTCTGGCAGCCCTACTCGTCGAGTTGAGGCTTGCACCTCGTCGAGTAGACTTCAAAACCCGCGTCCAACTCCAATCCCTACTCGACGAGTTTGGGGCCTCCAACTCGTCGAGTCACTACATAAAAATGAATAAATTTATAATTTAAATACATACCAGGAACACGGTGTTACAGATTGATTAACTTTTTTGTTGATTAAAGAATTGAAATCATGTAGATATAACAATGTAGCCGGAAACAATTTTTAATTGAAAATAAACATCGTTAAAATGAATAAAAATAGCTATGGACTTTATCTTGGTGACTCATCAATTAACGAAAGTTATTTACGAACAAATGTGGGTATAATCAATTGATACCAAAAAATTGACATAAATGAGGATATTAAGTTGATTAAACTAAAAAAATAGGGGGTGGAGGCAAAAAAAATAAGGGAAGAGGCGGCGTATTTTAAGTCAAATCATGGCTCAATGTTTGGTGTTGATTCTTATACCCCTTGTTTTCTATACAATAATTGTTTTTCTTAAAATATATGGAAGGGGCTCAACATTATTATATAAACGATTTGGGATAAAAATTACTTATGGGCTGAAGGTTTAAAAGAGGTTGAGGGGCAGAACATCCGACAGCCCTCCTGTTGGCTCCGCCATTGTAGAACCGGAATATGTAGAACCGGTAAGACTTCTGGGTTTAAATAATGGCTTTATCCCGGTTCAAAGAAATTTGGGTTTCGGTTCCTTCGGGTCTGGGTAAATCGGGTTTAAGAACTGGAACTAGTGTTAGGAACCGGAACTGGTTTTAGGGGCCGGAACTGGTTTCTATGAAAGTTTAAAAATGCATATCTCAATTGTTTGAAGTTGGATTGACATGAGAGTTTTTCTAGAGTGTAGTTTAAAGTTTGTACATAATTTTAGACTATAATTTTTTTCATTTTTGGTTTCATATTCATTGACTTACAGTCCCCCAAAGTCGGGATATAAAAAATGGAAAATTTCTATTTTTCAGTTGTGTTTGTATTTTGTGAAAGTTTTAAAACATGCATATCTACTTCGTTTGAAGTCGTATTAACATGCGGTTTTTTCCAACATGTAGTTTAGAGTTTTTACATGATTTTAGACTATAATTTTGTCATTTCTGGTTTCATATTCATTGACTTACAAACCCCAAATCAGCATATCAAAGCTGAAAATTTTTTTTTTTCAGTTTTATGTGAAATTTTAAAACATGCTTTTCTAATTCGTTTGAAGTCGGATTATCATGAGGTTTTTTCCAACTTGTAGTTTAGAGTTTGTACATAATTTTTTAGTATAATTTTGTCAGTTTTGGTTCATTACTCAGTGACTTATATTTCCCCGAATTCGTGATATCAAAACTGAAAATTTCCAAAGTTCAACCCACTAAATAATTTCCAAAAAATTTCAGTTTTCCGGTTCTAGACTCATTTTACCCGATTCCACCCGGCCCACTTTGATGTTTTTGAGTATTTCGGGTCTACACCCACTTTACTCGGTACATTAAAGGGAACCGAACCAGAGTCGATTCCTATATACCGGTCCGGTTTCCAGTCTAACAAAATATCGTTAACCAGTTCCTTGGTTTTCCGGGTCCGTATCTATCCGGACTGGGTTTGGACCCATTTTCATCCCTAACAGTGACACTCCTCCTCTCCCTTCACACAACACTAAACTGCCCTTGATCTTGCCCCAAACATGTGTTGAGTGTTTCTGGTGAGTTCATTTTCTATTGTGTGTTTATGCATGTAAGAGTGAGGAGTGTCGGTACACATAATCTAACTTGTTTGCACTCTATATGTTTGTTCTACAGTTGTGTTTTGTTTGCACTCTATGTGCATGTGTTTATGGTCATGAGAGTGACGGGTAATGATACATATATTTTCGGCTGATAGTTTAATCATTTTTGGGTACTTAGAAATTGATTTTTTGTTGGGGGTGAGTTGTATGACGTTGCATCTATGGTTGAAAATGGCGATAAGAGTTTGTGCCCAGAATCGAATAGTCTTTTTATATTTCGAGAAGGAAGATAAATAAGATGTGGTGGGTACTATTTCAGACAATATATTTATTTTATTTTATTTAATAGTAATCATTTCTAATAAATAAACAATTTTTTTGTCAAATGTCTTTCACTCATTCAATTAATCACATGACATTTTCTGATAATTTTGAATTATTTGTTTTTAACATATCATTATTCTTTAAATTCAACAATTTCATTATAATTCCACATAATAATACTAATTATACTTAAGGCTATATACACCATTCCATATTTAATTTCCTAAATTTAAGTCGCTATAAGTAATCCAATACACTGTTTTTTCCTTCATATATGGAATATATGGAATGTTATATGACTTCGTAATTCCATTCACTGTGAAAATCGGCATTCTTGAAGACCGACATTAGGATACCAAGAACCAGATACGTTTAGTAATTTCATTCTTTGTAACCTTGGACTTGATACAACATCTTGATTTTGTTCTTCATAAACCAATGCATGTATACGAGCTTTTAACGACTTTTTTTTGTTTGAGGTATTCTTTTTATCACTCTTATCCACCTAGTAAAAATCATCAAGGAACATCTATCATTTTGTAAATATCGTCGAGAAACAGCCACTTTTGTGAATAATTTTATAAATATTTATTATTTAAGAACATATACATACCAGCATATGATTTGTTTTAGGATCTACAAATTTTACAATTTCAAAAGAATCATCGATGCAACGTCATACAACTCACCCCAACAAAAAATCATAGATGCAACGTCATACAACTCAAAAGTAAAAGTAGTTATATTTCTGATAATTGGGAAGTAATAAAAATACGTTTGTGGTTTGTATGTGGAATTATCTTCTTGACATTAGAGTGTCAGTTTTGTTGATAAAAGTATGAAATATGCCAAATATGCTTCCTGGGTGACTCTTATCAAACTGATCTCTATATGTCCACAACACCTTTTCCATTTTTTGAGGCACCACTAGCTACTTATACGGTTGTTATTAGAAAAGGGAAAATGACACATCAGCCCTATGATGTTTTGCACATTTGTCCGTCATTTAAGTATTTTCCGTGCTTTATGAGGGAACAAAATAGTTATTGACCTGTTCATTTGATCACCTAACCTGATACAACCGGTTAAATGTGACACGTAACCATTTATTTTTGTTGACCTGCCTAGACAACAGTTGATGCAATGAATTTTTTAATAAAAAAATTCCAAATAAACCCACTCAACTGCTTCTTCTCCACCTCGCTTGTGCTTTTCTCCACCCAGCTTCTTCTTTTCTTTATCCATACCAACTTCTAATCGAGACTTTTGGAGGAAGCATGTATGCTTGATTCGCAATTAAATTTAGGTTAGGGTTTAAGGATTAACAAACCAAAACGAAAGGGGGGAACAGACAAAAACACCATGTCTAATAAGTGGAAACATAAACACCACCACACAACTGATCAACACAGCCCTGAAAGCACAAAATTCTGGATCGAACCTCCTCCACCTCACAACAAACGTCGTAAGGTACCCATTTTTTACTACCTCACTCGTAATGGCCACCTCGAACATCCTCATTTCATTGAAGTTCCTATCTCATCCTCTGAATGTGTTTATCTTCGATGGAATCTTTAATTTTTTAACACAGTGAACAATATGTATTCTAGTTATTGAAGTTTGTTTTGAAATTTTAGATGCAATAGATTAGTTCTATTCGTGGAAAAGAATGGTTGCGTTGTACTCCTGGTCTTCTAAAAGGTTAGTAATAGTTATGATTTCAAATTGTAATCACTATCATGATTCATGAACAGAGAAATTGAATTGAATTGATTTAATTTCTATGGTCTAGGAGTTATAAAAACGGATTCGTCTGGCACGATTTACCAAAGAATGGTTTTATTTACCCGGCGCACAACCAGATGTATATTCTAAAAGGATCGGAACTCTTTGACGTCCCCGGTGGTGATGCTCAGTTCGGCTCCAAATCCGATGAAAATGTTTCATACATCTCGAAAAGATCATCGTCTTTCGGAACATTAAAATCCATCATCGAGTTTGATTTCTCAGTCGATAATTGGTTTCGACGGTCAAAGAAAGAAAAGTCAAAATTGATTTGCAGATTTTGGTAGTTGGAGTGATACCGAATCATCGTGCTTATTGTGAATTAATCAAAAAGATTTGAATTGATGTTCAAAGTCTAATTTGTTGAATGTCAAAGTTCACATCTTATTGTTGCGTTCTTATATCAAAGTCAATGTAATGGAACAATGTCTATGTGGCAAAAGGGTAACCGGGTTACCCCTTCATTTTGTCCAAAGTGACCAAATTGACCCGACAAAAATAACTTTAATGATCTAAAAAACATGGAAAATACTTAAATGATTGAATGGGCAAATATGTAAAACATTGTAGGGTTAATGTGTCATTTTCCCATTAGAAAACTGAAAATTCAATTTTCCAATGGAATTATCATTTTTACCCCTACCAGCTTATTACATGTTGTGCTATTTAAAAACAATCATTAATAGGGACTATTCTTGCATCTTTTATTAAATCTGGTGACCAAATTTGTTAATTTACAGCTTACGGGGAGCACTGTTGTAAACTGTAATTTATACACTTTTATTTATATGATTAATTTTTAAAACCACCATGCTCTTTTAGGAAACTAGAATGTTAAACTATTTCTTGCATATAAACGTAATTTATTTAAGGAACTAATACATCTTCACAGTGTTATATGAATGGTAATTCATGTGCATTTTTAACTTTTTTTTTTACATGTATAGAAAACTGACTCTAAATTTTATGGGGCCTGATTCTTCCACCGCATGGTTTTATCTTTCAACGGAAAAAAAAGTATATTGACACTTATACCCCTGATTTTTATCTATCAATATTTAAGAGAGAGAAATATCTTTTTGTTTCCAAACGACTTACCATGAATATGAATGTTTTCCTCCTTCCTTCAATTCAACAATACATTAGTACCTCTTCCACGCTTTTGGTGGACATGGATGGAGACCTAGTTTGAGCATTTGCAAACCTCCATTTTAATAACCAATTTTGAATAATTTCCAATATTTTTTAGAATAAATCAAAAAAGTTAATAAGCAAATCCGTTTATTAATTCCCAAACTCAAAAACCCTAAGAATAAATAGTAGTTTATTGAAAAGCCCACGAAATCACTGTGTGAAGAATTTGTTGGATAACTATGCAGGAAAAAATCAAGAACACAGGCTCAAAATGGGACAACTTTATAAGTTTTTAATTCTCTATTGGAATCTAAAATTACATTAGCCAAAACCACACTTCTACTTATATTTGAATAATGCAAATCAGTCCTGCTATGCTTAAAATAATTAGCAACAAATAAACCCACCTCTAGAATGATGCCATTAATCCCATATTCTACATCGAACTGGGTGAAATGACAAATTATTTTGCTCCAAGTTTAGAGTAAAAAACATACCGGATTAACCCAACAGAATTCACCAATGAAACCACTTCAAAATTTAAGACTTATAACTTTGTGGAGCGAATTTACCAAGGAAACCAGTATTTTTTGACACTCGCTTCCTTTTGAAACTTGCAACGCCGAAGGAAGAAGATGAGCCTGCTGAAGATTGCATCGCCAAACCAGGAAGAACAAGCGTGTAATTTGGAAACAATTTTATGGTATATTTCCCTCTCTTCAATAATTAAATGAAGGGTATATTTGTCATTACATTAGGTTTTCAGTGGAAAAAGTAAAAGTTACAGTGGAAGAATCAGCACTCAAATTTTGTATGGCTTTAAATTGTGAATATCTTTTCTAGCATTACAATTTTAAAGGATAATTCATTACTACAAGCAAATGTTTTTATTTTGGGACCCCATATATAATTCATTGAGTACAAATATTACCTCTTCTTATTCCTTTAACTTGGAAATCTTGTACTGTTAGCCGAATGGTAAATCAGTACCTTAGTTTAGACTAGGTTCAACGGACAGGTAAATCAATAATTTACTTTAAACATGGATCAAATTGGTTGTTGTTGTTGTATCTATTCATTTGTTACGTAATATGTAGGCGGAC